CAATTTTGTGATTATTGAGAAGTCTCGTGGCAATTTTGTGATTATGAATGTTCAGATTGTAGATCTAATCAAAGGGTTGAGAATTGGTCTTACGGGTCTCATGAAAAACCTTTGGTCTCACATGATCTCAAGTCTATATATATACATGCACATACCAGGTTCGATATCGTGTATTACACGGGGTAATTTAAAAAAATTAAAAAATGTCAGGAAACTTATCTTACAGATATGAATAATCATCGAAAGTATGATGCTACTTCAGACTTGTACTCTTGAAATAACTCTGAAAATGACTATTTAGACTTGAATTTAGAAATGAAACTATATCAATAATTAGTTAAAATGATGTAAACCTTAGAATAAAATTAAATTTAGGAATCAAACTATATCAGTAAATTGAATTTAAACTTAGAAGTAACTTTAGAATGACTCTTCAGACTTGTACTCTTGAAATAACTCGGAAACTTTGAAGAATGACTTCAAACTTGTACTCTTGAAATAAATCTAAAGTAAAACTCTTTAGACTTCAACGCTCTGTATAGGCAAACCAGAAGCTCTGCATGCACTATGCTGAGGCTTTGCATGGTGCTCCGTCTGGAAAAGAAGACTTCAGAGTTCGGGTGAGCTAACTTAGAAGAATGACTCTTCAGACTTGTACTTTGGAAATAACTCTGAAGTAAAACTCTAAAGAATGACTCTTCAAACTTGTACTCTGGAAATAACTCTGAAATATAAAATCAATCCAACAAAATCAGAGTTCAGGCTTCTAAGTTTGAAAAAAAAAACTTCAGAGTTTAGAGTTTGGTTGAGCTAAGTTTGAAAAAGAAGACTTCAAAATTCCGGTGAGCTAACTCTGAAAAATGACTCTTCAGACTTGTAGAAGACTTCAGACTTGTTGGGTCATTGACCAGCATCTTCCTAAATTTGACTGGGGAGAAGATAAGGGTAAAGCTTTCCAGTTGTTGAAAAACCGTCTATGCAGTGCTCTGATATTGTCATTATCGGATGGGTCTGAAGATTTTGTGGTATACAGTGATGCTTCAAAACTGGGTTTGGGATATGTATGATGCAGAGAGGGAAAATTATTTCTTACGCTTCCAGACAGTTAAAAGATCACGAGAAACAGTACACCGACGCATGACCTGGAACTTGTAGCCGTTGTTTTCTCATTGAAAATTTGGAGGCGTTATTTATTGGGAATTAAATGTCAGATTTTTACAGACCATAAAAGTATTCAACATTTTTTTAATTAAAAAGAATTAAACACGCGACAAAGATGATGGATTGAATTGGTAAATGATTATGATTGTGAAATCCTTCATCATCTTGGAAAGGCAAACGTGGTGGCTAACGCACTTTGTCAAAAGAAAAAGAGTGGAACAATTAAAGCCATTCAGTTGATAACAAACCTAACTCTTGACATTTATAATGAAGTCAAAGGGAAGCTGTTAAAGAAGAAATTTTCAAGGCTGAAAGAGTTGGTGGAATAATTTCAACTCTGACAAAGAATGACAAGGGGATTCTATGTTTCCAAGTTAGAATTTGGTACCAGGTTTTGGGAACAATCGTGAGCTGATTTTAGATGAGAGTCACAGATCACGATACTCGATTTATCCAGGTACCAATAAGATGTATAAAGATGCAAAACCATTTTATTGGTGGTCAGGATTGAAGAAGGATATTGCAAGATATGTAGAACGGTAATTGACTTGTCTACAAGTGAAAATTGAGCATCAAATACCATATGGGAATTTATAGTCTCTGGAAATTATTGTGTAGAAGTAGGATCATATCACAATGGATTTTGTCATGAATTTACCGCGAACGCCAAAAGATTATGATGTCATATGGGTTATTGTGGACCGTTTAACTAAATTTGCGCACTTTCTTACCAATTAAGGAGAATTATCCTTTAGAAAGGTTGGAAAAGATTTATATTGAAGAAATTATGACTCGTCATGGTGTTCCATCATCAATCATCTCAGATAGGAATATCATATTTACCTCAAAGTTTTGGGAGAGTTTCCAAAAATCTATGGGATCTCAGATTAAATTAAGTATGATGTATCACCCTCAAACAGATGAACAGAGTGAAAGAACGATTCAAAGCCTTGAAGATATGTTGAGAACTTGCATTATTAACATCAGGGGTTCTTGGAAAAACCATCTGTCTCTAATCAAATTTTCTTACAACAATAGTTATCATTCCAGCATTCAAGCAACACCGTATGAAGTTTTGTATGGCCAAAAGTGCAGAACGCCATTGTGTTGGAATGAAGTGGGGGAGAGAAAGTTGGTTGGTCCAGAAATCGTTCAAATAACTTCTGAAAAGATAGATCATATATGAGAACGAATTAAAATCGCTTAGGATGGACAGAAAAGTTACGCTGACAAATGTCGCAAACGATTGAATTTATGGTAGAAGATTTTGTAATGTTAAAAGTTTCTCCGTGGAAATGCATCGTTCGACTCGAGAAAAGAGATAAGCATACTTCCATTTACTTTGGGCCATTCAAGGTATGTATATGTATATGTATATGTATATGTATATGTATATGTATATGTATATGTATATGTATATGTATATGTATATGTATATGTATATGTAT